AGTCAGTTGAGAGCAGCAGGTCTGAAGTAAACCCCAGATGGAGCCCAAGTGGACAGAGATATCTATTCCCCTTTCTCTTGCCTTTATGATACCCGTTTCCTTTCTTAAGCTGGAAGAAGAACTGAGAGCTTTTATTGTATGCAGCATTTAAATTTCTCTGTACTCGCTTCTAGAGTTGCAAGTTGCCCACATATGTCCTCTCTTGTGAATTGGGTTCACAGTCTAGGGGCGCTATTACATGCAGCTTGATCAATATACTTTTGTGATACAAAGCACCAACTGAATTCTATACGCAAGTTATAGCCCTCCTGGATAGTGCACAGTTGTAAATACTCAGGTAACACCCTACCACATTGTATAAGTAGCTTCCATTAAAGGCCACTTGGAAAGCATGGTTCAAAATATAATGATTAGATTGCTTAGCTCAAGAATATAGAGCATTTATTTCCAGGTTCAGAGCAGGCACATGAAATCCTACAGTCTTCATTTTCATAAAGAAAACAGGACTGTTTTCAAAGGGAAATATCTAGCCTTTAAATACTTTTTTGTCAGGCTTGACATAGTCACCATTTGTATTCCAATAGTCCACTTTCAGCCATATTCACTGTAATCTTAATTGCTCAATGAATACTTCCTTCCCAAATAGCTTTGTTAATTTCTCCATCTGATTTCCTTTATTTAAGCCAGTTGCAAATTTTCCTACTTTGAGCCCATGCAAAGTTAATCAGTGCATTTCTAAAGTTTTCATGGTACTTTAATTTTCTTTTTCCATCCCATTAAATTAAGAAAGGATTTAGCCCATTCCATATTTTGTAATGTAAAGTAAGGAATATTACTTGCTTTCAATAATTATATCTATGGCAAACTTAAAGGAGATTTGAAATGCTACTTCCTAGTTCTGTTTGCTTTAGCATTCATCCATGTCTGTGCATGCTTTATTGCCTATTGTGATTTGATATATTCTTTTTGAAAGCCATTATGAGAAACATATTGGCTGGAAACAAAGGTAGTCTAGATACATTGTATGAATGGCTAATTCTTCTACAGACTATGATTATGCATATAGGGAGCCTTTGACTGGCGATTTGTGGTAACTGGATTCAACCTTTGTGCTAAGGCATAATGTGGCCTTTTGGGGGGGGACCATTGCAGTATTGCCCCTGAGTTGAATGGATCACCTTTTTAATGACTGTCCAACAATGTAGGGCACATTTTCTATACTCTATCCTTTTTTCTTCACAGAAAATATCAAGAAACATAGACTGACTTGATATATTGCACTAAGTCAAGATTTGCTTAATGATAGTTTATTCTATCAATCACAATTGTCTGGGTTCAAAATCAAGTTAACCTATAAACTATTCATTACATACTGCAATGGTTGTCCCCCCCCCCCAAAAAAAATTGATTGCAGATAGGTTTTCCACACTTTTTATTACGGTTCCCTGTAAATCGCCAGTCATAGGCTCACTATATGCATTTTAGCCTTTGCACATCTCAAGGAACAATTAGCTATGGTATCTTGATGTAGTCATGAAAATCCAAGTAGCAAAATTATTATAAAAGCTACTAAGTATGCTTGACCTAGGTCAAATGAACAGAGGGCTCCTACTAATGCAGGCTTCTCCAACATGGCATCTCCAGGCTATCTGGAGGTTGCCAGGCTGGGGAAAGATGTTCTAGAGCTAAAAACTACTGTAAAATGGTAACATTATTTTGAAGGATGCATTAGAGTACTAACTCTCAGCTTCCAGTTAGTAGAAATAAACTTTTAACTGAGCTTGTATTAATTACAGTAATTGATTTTATTGTAATTTTGTTTTATTAGGATTTTAATTTTATTAATGCTATTTTTATTTTAATGGATAAATTTTACTGGGGTGAACTACTTTGATTGTCAGGTTAAAAGGCAGGGTCTGAGAGCTACAGGATTTGACCCTCTACAAGTAATAAATGAATAAATAAATCCAATGAATAAATGACACCCTAGGCCCGTGGTGGCGAACCTATGGCATGCGTGCCACAGGTGGCACGCAGAGCCCTCTCTGTGGGCATGCGTGCCCTGGCCCCAGTCCTAGACCTTCAGCTGGGTTTTATAAAACCTTTTCGCTTTAGGCCTCTGTCGCCATGTGCAAAAAAAAAAGGTTAAATCAAGCAATCAGTTTCAACTTCTTGCGGGGAAAAAAAAGATCTCACAAGGTTGGAATTGATTGATTGAACTTTTTAGTCCCACCTAGTCTGCCGTTACCACCGCAGCCATGCCCACCCAATGGGCCACGCCCATCCAATGGGCCACACCCATCCAATGGGCCACACACACCCATCCCCCAATGATATATAAGTGGGTTTTGGGTTGCAGTTTGGGCACTCGGTCTCTAAAAGGTTCGCCATCACTGCCCTAGGCTTTCTTCAGCACTGTTTTGTCTGCTGTCACTATCTTTATGCTCATGCATGAGAATAAAATCAATTTAAGTGGGGAATCTGGTTGTCTCTAACTGATTCTATATCTAAAACTATCTAAATTCTATCTAAATAATAGTTGGCTAAGTAAATAAGTTTGATTCTGTTGGAATCTCCTTTGGAGAATTTGTCCAAAAGTTCAGATAATATCCTAGCCAAATTCCTTTATTTCACTTTTCCTTAATCTGACATTTATTCTGGAGAAAACCAGTCTATGTGGTTGCTAATTGACTTGATGGCATAATCTTCGTAATCTGTATTCTTCAGGCATCAGCCAGTAGGGGTTCATGATTGCAGATATGCAATGGATCAGGTGTTACTCATGCCCAGATTTCTGTCTTGAGTGAGAGGAATTGAATTGCAGTTTTGCAGCACCAATGCAAATGTGACTTCCCAGTAACAGGTACAGACAACCACATTGCCTGCAAAAAGACCAGTGACTATAAGGACAAGGCTCTTTGATGGCCTTACTTGAGCAGACTAAAGCTGCCTGTCTGGAAAACAACAAGCAAGAGCAAGAGTGAGCCACTTCTGAGTCAGTCTAGCAAATCCTTCACTCTTGCAAAATCCAGCCATTATAATAGCCCTACGTAAGGCCTAGTAACTTGCACATGTGAAGGCACAAAGGCAAAACCAATTCAAACATATCTGGGGGCCTGTATAAAGCACTGCACATTTGGGGATAAGCATGTACATTGGATTGAATCTGTTTACATGCTTTACTACTAGAAAGAAATAGTACTAGTGAGAACAGGCTGCACAGGTTCAAATGCCCCTTCCAGTTCAATGATTATACAGTTCTATAAGACTAAACAGGTTTAAATCTGGGTAAGCAAAGTTGCAGGTGTTTATTTGAGCAACAACTCAATATATGAAGAAAAAAGACTATCAAGAATAAAAAAGTGAAGCATTGGAAGTAGCTTCTGTGAAATGCATTGAAATAAATCTCTTGGCTGGGTGCCTTTGTTACTTTGCTGACTGAACTTTTCCAGCCATTATGTGTTTATGTTTTTCTTTCTATTTAAAGAGGCTGCATTAATTTTTGTCACCTAATCTGAATCTCTTCTGCATAATATGTCTCTTTAAGCCTCATTATGCTTTTAAATCAAATTTTTCAGGCACACCTGTCACTGGATTGTCTCTTCCCTGGAGGAAGAGCCTAAATGGTCTAAATTAACTGCCTAGGAATCTTTACATTAAATTGCACCAGTAAAATTAGGATTGATTCAATGGGTCAATGGAACAATATATGGCTCATCATAGGGGGGGCTTTTTGACAGTTTCCACCAAAAATCTGAACGGAAAAAATTCTCTAACAATCATGTAAAAATATAACTCATCCTTAATGGTAACAAAAAACATAGTTACTCAGAAGTTCAGGGGAAAGAGTTCTCTGGGGATTTAATGGGAGTGTAGAGAGCCAAGAAGACTGCAAAACATTGGACAGAGGATTGCACATAAACATAGGACATTCACCCATAACCCATGGCAAACCTCATTAAAGAAATGCATGAACCCCCCATTTTAGCCATGGAATAAGCCTGCTGTTCTCCACAGTTCCATTTTTTTTGAATGAGAACAGTTAGGAAGAAAAGGAGTAATAAGAGAAATTCTGACCCAGCAGTCTACATTTCCTTGAAGTTAACAGAGTCCTGGGTGTGCAAAGGAAAGCTCCTTCTGGAACTGCTGGCACATGCTTTTACAAACTAACATTCTCTCTGAGGTGACAAACCCCACCTCTGTAGAATAGTAGACAGGAAGGGCATGGGACCAAAAGTCCTTGTAACAGAATGGGCCTAGGCCAGGGGTAGGCAACCTTGGCTCTTTTATGACTCATGGACTTCAACTCCCAGAATTCCTGAGCCAGCTGAGCCAAGGTTGCCTACCCCTGGCCTAGGACAATGCTAGACAGGGATAGGCAACTACAACTCTCTTTGAGTCCCTTTTAACTGGCCATGGTAGTTTGGGCTGGCAAGAACGGACGTCCAAAACGTCTTGAGGTGCTTAGAACGGACGCTATACTTTCCTCAGAAAGAGCCCTCCCTTCCTCCCTTCCTTCCTTCCTTCCTTCCTTCCTTCCTTCCTTCCTTCCTTCCTTCATTCATTCATTCATTCATTCATTCATTCATTCATTCATTCAACCTCTCTCTCCCCCGCCCCCCCCTTATCTTTCATTCTCTCTCTCTCTCTCTCTTCCCGTCTTTTCATGAGTCTCGGTGCAAATGAATTGCTGCGCTCCTGGCAGGTCTCTTCTCCGCTCTTCTCTTGGAATGAGATGCCTGCGCCAGGGAGGCAGAGGGATCGAGGCGCCCGGTCTCCTAACTCCTCCCCGCGAGTCTTTACCTCCCAGCCCAGCCCAGCCCAGCCCAGCCCAGCCCGTGTGAAACCCAATAACCGCGACCATCCAGCCATGCCTCCCCTTCCCGGCGGCGCCGAGGAAGACGAGCACAGGCGCTTCGGAAGGTGCAGCCGGCCGTAGCAGCAGGAGCCTTCCTGCGCACCGCTCGGGCAGAGAGGGAGGCGGCCCAGCGGCGCCCAGCATGCTGGCCGCGGGAGGTCCGCTCGCCGCCCGGCTGGACAGCCTCTTGCCTTGCTGGCTCGTCCTGTCGCTCTCCGGCACTCTGGCCTCGGCGCAGCCGCCGGGGGTCGCGGTCCTCTGCCCGCCGCTCTGCCACTGCGAGGAGGACGGCATCGCGCTCTCCGCCGACTGCTCCGAACTCGCGCTCTCCTCCGTGCCCGGCGGCCTCAGCCCCTTAACTGCCTACCTGTAAGCACCGACCTGTCAGGCGCTTGGCTTGGCTTGGCTTCTCCCGGGGTGGGGAGGGGGAGGCGGGTGGAGGGGCAGAGCTGCCTGCGAGATCCGCGAGATCCGAGGGCGACTCTAACCGTAACCCCTCTGTGTGTGTGTGTGTGTGTGTGTGTGTGTGTGTGTGTGTGTGTGTGTGTCTGTCTGTCTGTCTGTCTGTCTGTCTGTCTGTCTCTCTCCTTGTGGTCCTCAGCAAAGCCTGTTTATACTGCGATGTTCTGCTTGCGTTACTTCTTGATTGCTACGGATCAGCTGGAACAGAGCTTGTTTGCAGAGCAGACTCTGGTTGTTTAAGAGCATATTTATCTTGAGTAATTAGGGCAAACGGCGACGGAGATCCCATCTCTCTCCCCGTAGTTCTCAAAGCAAGGGACTGCGATCGTTGGGGGGGGGGTGTGTTGGGGTTTGCAGACTCGGGGAGATTCAACATCCAGCTTGAACCCCGGGGCTTGGAAACTAAAAGGGTCGGGAACAAGCTCTTCTGGTCCGGGGTAGAGAAGAACCGTTCGATGTTTCGCTTCCACTCGTCCCAGCCGCGTCTGTTCTGTTCTTTGGAAAGTTATTTGCTCGTCTATCTGTAGCTGAAGCGAGTATGGAGCAGAACTGGGCAATACTTGCCTTCCTGCCTGCTTCGTGGCTGTTTTCTCCGAGCGGCGCTTTCGCTTTGAAATCAGACGGTGACCCGCTTATGAAAGAGATTTTGCATATTTAGGCAGGGAAGGTTTAGCTAAACTTCCCTGCACTGAAGAAAGGAGTGAAAGAATTTGGCTTTGTTTTGAGAAATCATACAAAGAGACAATGCAAAAAAAAAAAAAAATTTGGGAAAGGCTGTCCGGAAGTCTGTGGAAAAGGTTTTGTGGGATACCTGACAAAGAGAGTTCGTGTCTGTTTCTTCACACTGTGTCAATGGTTTTTTTTTTTTCAAATTTGGCAACTTTAAGACGTGCAGTCTTCAGCTTTCCCAGAATTTCCCAGTCAGCATTCTGAGAGTTGGTCCACGCACCTAAAAAATTGCCAAGTTTTAAAAACACTGCACTAAATAATCTGTTATTGTAAGCAGCACTGCCTAAAGGTCAGGGCAAAGAGTTGGTGGGAGCCTTGCCTTTGGGTCTCGCTGCATTTACCTGACTTTGTGGGAGAACACTCACACCTGGTGTCTCCTGCCAAGCCAGTTATTCTCCTTTAAGAGGAGCATACGGCCATTTCAAAGAGAAAACTGGATTCTGTTCAAACTCAGGAAGTAATGCAATTATCTTATCTCCCAGACTTTGGCTTTCTGATTGCTATTTGGATGTGTTTCTTCTTTACACCAAGCTGGGAAAAAAAGACACACTTAAGAGGGAAAGATTTCTAGATAATTGAGGATTTGATCTACAGTACAAGATATCTAACTTGGTAAGCTATACATAGCCAAGACATTGGCTCCAGTGCCCAAAGTTCTGTATACAGAGTCCTTCTGCAAAAAAAATGAATCAGTGAAAATCTTTGGCTCCAGCAATGAAGCCTTGTGGGGGATTGAAAGAATAGAATTGATAAAGTCAAAGTAAGTTCTTATACTAGTCAACCTAGTGCAGGGGTAGGCAACCTCGGCTCTTTTATGACTCGTGGACTTCAACTCCCAGAATTCCTGAGCCAGCTCCATACGCAATCTTATTAAATAATTGAGGTCAGCCCTGTGCTCCAAAATATTCTTTCCTATATATAATACCATCCGTGGTTGGGAGACTCTTCTCTTTAAAATGCATCTTTTCTAGTCCATGACATTATATTTGCACAGTACATGCGAACAACTGATTTTTACTGAACACACTTTGGAATCCAGCAAAGTGATATAAGGATGGTCTAATTTGGATCTCATCATAGCAGCATTACATGGTACTACTCAGGGCTTTTTTTTTCTCATAGAACACCCAGAACGGAGTTCCGGCACCTTTTTTGGATGGAACCTTGTAGGGTAGGCAAGGCGGGTTGTATGACATGTGTGAGTTCCGGCACCTTTTTTTTTTTAACAAAAAAAGCACTGGTACTACTGTTGAAAATGCTCTTAAGGGATCCAGTCCAGACTGTAACTCATCCAAATCTGCTTGGTCTTCAAGGCCTTGCAGAAAATCTTTTCCTTCAGTTTGCCCAAGACCAGCCCTAGAGACAGAGGTTTCCTGATCAGACTCCTGATTACTTACAGAAGTAATTTACTTACAGAAAACTCTGCTTACACCTTTGTGTAATTACTTTACAAATCTTTGAGCTGCAGCAGCAACTGTTGATGGTGCTTCCCTTTTCCCTGTACAGCCTGGTTTGACTTTGTATGACTGAAAGCTATGCTGCAAATCAGCACCCCTTTTAAGGCCAGCGACAAATGCTCTATTTGTTTGGTGCTGAACTAGCCCTGGGTTTGACACAGCAAGCTTAGCCACAAGGTCAACACAACCAGCCTCTCATCTCAAAGCTGGAATGCCTACTGTACATACGAACTCTGTGAGGAAGGCTTCGTCTTTCAAGCATGAGAACAAGAATATGAAAGGAGCACCAAAGGTCCTTTTCCATTGTAGCTATGAATTTAGAATTATGCTATCTTAGGAAGAAAGGTGAACGTGAATTTAATCTCTTGTGAGGAAAAAGTCTTTGAGAAACTTTGGAGTAGAGAAATAGTGAAGAAAAAGCTTAAGTACCTCCCCCTCTTTGAAATTCCGTCTTGACACATCTTTGCTTTTGTGGTTTGTTAACATGTGCATTCTTGCATTTATTAATATATCCTGGAAAATTTGATCCTTAGTAGTCATCGTTCTATTGAGATTGCCAGATAGCATATGATAAACTTCTACAATCAGGAGCTTTTCAGGGATTTTTGACTACAACTCCCATCTTTGGCATAGCTGACTGAAAATCAAGCCCTACTCCAAAAAAAGCAGCAGATTCAAGGAATCTACTGAAAAGCTTATTCTGGCTATGGAAGCTCAAAGATCATGTCTGGGTGTTAAAAGTACAATGTCTTGGGCAGGAGGAATTTTTGTTCCAACTAGAAAGCTCTGAATTTAGGGCATCTGCAAATATTAATTGCTTTCATTTGATCTATCACTTTTCATGAGCAAGCTTCGTGTAAATCTAAAAGTCTGATATAAATACATACAAGAATTGTAGCCTAGATCTGGGAGTTAAAAAAAATCTGGACAAACCACTTGTAAATGTTTGCCAAGAAAATGACATTGACTTCTCTATATAGTTACCTAGAAGTCTAGCTAAACTCAAAGGAGTGTTTAATCACATTGTAACTCTTCTAAGAACATCCCTCTAGGAGACAATAATTCAGTTTCAGCATGTGGTGGCGCCATTGACAGTTCTTTATGGGAATCAACCTTATACTGTAAAATCGTCTCCAAAATGCATCCATAGATAAAGAGTTGCTCCAACTTTTTAATTTCTGAATAACAATTCCTTTAAAACTTTTCCTTTGCACTTTACAGAAACATCAGGCTTCCTGCAAATTCTCTAAAAGGCAAATGGACTCTATCCTGCAAATGAATTGTACTCAGAAGATATTTAATATAGAATAGTAAGAATAACTAGATCTCCCACATCAGGGCTTAGAAATCTTTTGATCATGGTTGCATTCACACTCATATTTAACTTAACCAGAGTTTATTAAGATTGATGTTCTGACTTGCAAAACACATTGAACCATGCATTAGCAATATAAATTGGATTCACACAACACACTAGGCAAAATCTGGTTTTGCAAACTACACCTGCAAATATTTTTGTGCAAAGTAGATAGGGTATTTCTATCTAAAAGTAAATTAAGTGAGTTTAGTTACACTAGTTTTATTTCCAGGATTAAAACTCTCCCAGTGTGGATATAATAAAGCAGTATCTTTATTATCTATTGGAACTGTAGCTCAAGAGAAGAGGAATCCTTTAGAAGTTGATAGTTACTTTTTAAATAGATTTATGTACAGTCACTGAGTATTTTATTCTGCCATGGCTGATTTTAGCCCAGTCGAGCTACCCACACACTTTAAATTATAATTCTTTTTCAATAGTCACATGGCCATGAGACAAAGGTGGTAATATAATAGTAAATCAACATATTCATCTAAGGACAGGTTCATAGCATCATTCATACCTTCAGCTTACTTTTTGTATAGTATTAGCAATAACAATAGCACTTAGACTTATATACCACTTCATAGTGCTTTACCACCCTCTCTAAGCGGTTTACAGAGTCAGCACATTGCCCCCAACAATCTGAATCCTCATTTTACCAACCTCAGAAGGATGGAAGGCTGAGTCAACCTTGAACCAGTGAGAATCAAACTGCTGAACTGCTGGCAGCCAGCAATCAGCAGAAGTAACCAGCAGTACTGCATTCTAACCACTGTGCCACCCTGGCTCTTTTAATTTACCAAAATTAATTAAATCAAGGTTAATTCAAACAGGTTTGACTGCTTGAATAAAAGGCTATTAAATTTAGGATATCTTAGGAGTGTAGCTATGACTTGGGAAGTGAAAAAAACATATCCTTAGGAGGAAGTAGCAAACTACTCCTGAAGAGCAAGCTTGTCTTAGTGACCCTATAATGCTCTTTTTCCTTCCTAGTTCAGCTATTCTGTGTGTTGTGTTGTGATATTGATTGTTTGTAGCAATAAATAGCAATCACTCTAGTTACCTCAGCTTCGTTCTTTCCTCTCTGCTGCTGAACTTGTGCAAACAGAAATTCAAGTCAGTAGATGTTCACTGAGTTTCCCATTCTCTTCAACATTCTTCACCCATCTTTGGAATTTCACACCCTGTGTATGAATTTGACATTCAAGTGCCATCTTTCTCCTCTCTCTTCTAAATTTCTTACTGAATGCAAACAGGATAGCCAGTGAAAAGTTGCACAATCTGGACCTTATCCCAGGCAAAAAGCTGTTCCCAGTCAACTTGAGCTTAGTCTATCTTTTCATCAAATCTCTCTTTCTGGG